TGAGGTGCCGGAGGTGGGGGCCGCGGTGCCCGAGGAGACCCTCGGGGTGCGGCGCGTGCCCATCCGTGTCATGCGTCTGGTAGGCTGGCTACGGCTGGGGCTGTCTACCCTGGGGGGTGCGCAGGCAGGGTCCTGGGCCCTCCCATGTGAACTCCGCGCTAACTCACGCGCCGGCAGAGAAGCGTGCCTGTTTGCGCAGCCTGTTCGCGCGGCTCCGGTCGCGTGGTTCCCTGGGGGGCTGGGCGAAGTAGGGGCCTGGGCGGGGCTTGACCCGGCCCAGCTCCACTCCGCCGCCTCCTCCCACACACACACTAAGGGGTTAGCCCCCTCTCTCCACGGGCCCCACTTACCCCGGCTGTGCTGGGGGTTGGCGGGGGGCTCCGCGGCTGCTGGAGGGTTTTGGGGGGCTTCTGGGGGGCTTCGGGGGCGCAGCAAGCTTTCACCCGCGCGTCTCTCGCCGCTTCCGAGCCTAACTATATAATCTGCTACAATTTCCAAGTTTCTGTGTTTCTGCCATACAGCTGCTGTGCTGCTGGCAGTAGGTTGAATAGCTGCTCAGTAATTCCAGAGAAAAGTAAACGGTCACTTTGCACCTCCAACATAAGGTTTAAACACACAGTGTTTACACCACTGGAAATCATGCAAAAATAATAATGCATGCTACATTATGTGTTTAAATTAGTAGAAGCATTACATAAATAAGGAAGTGTTTAAATAGCAACTTAATAAACACAATTCACCTGGGCATTTACATAGGGCTGGAAATTGGTCTGGCATATAGCCTCACACACAGCCTTCAAGTGATGCCTTTGGCTTCTCCAAAGCGCTGATCAGAACAGAGGAGGCTTCCAAGAATGTCATAACCCAGTTGCTTCACTAAACTGTAAATAGGCAGCAAGAGGGCAAAATGCAAATCAGAAGAGAAACACAACATGCTGTAATACACATCAACACAGATGAGATTACAGAAAAATGGAGAGGGATCTATCAGCGTTCTGCGAAATAAAATGAATGTCTGTGCAGTTCATGAATGTTCACTTGTATGCGTGTACACATGTGCATGTATATGCAACAAAACACAGCTCCACCTCAGAAATGGGAGCTGATTTTCCATCAGAGATCTGTTTTCTATGAGAAAGGTTAAAGATAATTGACTTCTGTCTTTTCCATTACAAGCAGTGGACCATAAAAGAAATGAATCTCTAATGGTTTTAAAGTGTTTCATTTTCCAATTAGAAGAAATCATTTTGTACTGGTTTGATAAGACCTGGGGAATGCAAAGGTTGACTGTCAGATTTACCATAGTGTTTGAGAGATTTGGGAGTTTAGTCCTGGGGTAAGGACCAAGGAGTTTGTAACTAATATGGTAATTTTTATTAATTGTAGCAAAAGAGATGTTTAAGACAAGGAGCAGATTGTGATGCCAAGGTGAAAAGTTAGATATCAGTGAAGGGGCAAATTCAGTTTAGACTGCGCATTTCACTTTCTCATCAGCTTCCCTTCATCTTGAGAGATTCTTCCAGTAAGTGGAAGAGCTAAGAGCATATTATCAAAGGCATTTCAGAATGACAGAAAAGTATAATAAACTGTTCACTAAATACAGAGGGCATGCAACTAAAAAACACAACCCAGTTGTCTCTCCTTTTTCAATCAAAACGTGTACAAAATATATATATGTATTTTGAAATAAACACAATGTTATGACCTTTCTTCTACAGAAAAATGCACATAACTTTGACTGGAGATCTAACTTTGGTGTTTTGTATGTTTCACCAGGGGTATATCAAGTACTCTGCTCTTTTTTACGGCTACTACAACAACCAACGGACAATTGGATGGTTAAAATACAGGCTTCCAATGGCATATTTCATGGTTGGAATTAGTGTATTTGGCTATAGCTTGGTGGTTGTTATAAGAACGTAAGTGAAGTTCTTCAGGTTTTTTTCTTTTCTTTTTCTCTGAAATTCATACCCCCCCTCCCCCGCAAAGATATATGTGTGTGTGTGTGTGTGTGTGTGTGTGAATAGTATGTGGGGAAGAGCCCTGAAAAGTGAAGTCCTTGATTTTATGCAGACAGCTGCAGTGCTGCTGCTGCTGTCTGTGTGTGTATACATGCAGTTATTACATTAATTTGAATGTGTGTGTGTGTATACACACACACATGCACACATTGCAATAATAGTAATTAACAATCACACATCTGGAAACTTCTATTATTTTAATAACCTTGAGAGATACTTATTTAAATTTTATTGATGCTTGCCCCTAGCTTACCCCCAAAAAACTCAGATTCATAGTACTTGGGCCTGGAAAGAATATTTTGGGATTAGGGTCATTTAATCCATCTAACTGTGCTAGTTCATGATGATCCTTGGAACTAAGCCCATAGCTATTTTACCTACTGCATTCCCTCCCCCAAACACCTCATGCCTTGACTTTAGTGCCTGCTAAGTCAAATGATACAAGATCCTGTCCTATCCCCCTTTTTTCCCCAAAATTGGACATTTCTATGGAGGAATTACAGCAAGTGGCTGTGACACTACATAACAAGTGAAGTGGGAGTATTTAAGAGAACCTTGATTACACTGAGTTTCTAAAAGGTCTATTTCTACAATCCTGGCACTTGAAATGCTTCCATAAAAAGCAACAAGAGTTCCTGGTGTGAACAAGAGTACAGATCAGATCCAAACACTTAAGTATTGCAGAAACAGCCTCAAACCAGTGTGAACTACATAGAATAATAATGTTTTGCACTAATCTTATGACTTTGTAGTCAAGGATCTCAAAGCATTTCAGAGGAATCTAATTTAGGCTCCCAAGCCATGTATGAAACAGATGATATTGCTTGCACTTTTCCCTTTACAGAAACCAAGGAACAGGAAGCTTAAGTAACTCGCATAAGGTCACAGTGAAAGTGTACACAAAGCAAGAGATAGACCTTCTATCTTTTGGCAACTCTCTATATGCCATAAATGTGAGACCATCCTTCCTCACAATAGGAACGGGTATACAAAATTGATTTTTATTTTTATTGAAACAGGCCCGTTGCTCTTCATTGCACCTAAAATATTGAGGCTTTTGTTGAAGTGGGACATAAGGCTTTGCTATACATTTGCAATGAAAATGCAAAATCAGTAGTCTTATCTCTGCTTGAGGAATTTATGCTGGAAAATTGAATGGCAGTTTTAAAAATATTTTTGGGATCAAACATGAAAGAGGAGACAATTGAAGACATATCTGTTCCTCAACTGATTCTTTGGTTTCCTACAACTTCTTTGATCCAGCATTGTTTAGCCATTGAATTCTTACTGGAATATTGTGTAGCTAGTTGTCACAGAGCACTGAGGTGCCTTGTGCCTGAAGAGGGGTAAACTGCCAGGG